TTCAGCTCTTCTGCATTGTTCGGTCTCATGTCTCTCATCTTTCTCTTGGTAATGCCAGGTCAGACGAGTTTGCTGACCAATCAAGCACAGTAATCCCATTGTCATTGAACCAGGTTTTGGTGCTTTTGGTAGTGTGGGCAGGTGCCAAGTCCTGCTGGAAAATGAAGTCAGCATACCCATAAAGCTCGTCTGCAGAAGGAAGCATGAAGTGCTCCAAAATCTCCTGGTAGACGGCTGCGTTGACCCTGGACTTAATGAAGCACAGTGGACCAACACCAGCAGATGACACGGCTCCCCAAATCAACACAGACTATGGAAACTTCACAGTGGACTTCAAGCATCTTGCAGTGTGTGCCTCTCCATTCTTCCTCCATACTCTGGGTCCTTGGTTTCCAAATGAGATGCAAAAGTTGCTCTCATCAGAAAAGAGGACTTTGGACCACTGAGCAACGAGGTCTGTTTATCTTTAGCCCAGCTAAGACACTTCTGACGTTGTTTGTTGTTCAGGAGCGGCTTGACAAGAGGAATACAACATTTGAAGCCCATGTCCAGGATCCATCTGTGTGTGGTGGCTCTTGATGCACTGACTCCAGCCTCAGTCCACTCCTTGTGAAAGTCCCCAACACTTTTGAATTGCCTTTTCCTGACAATCCTCTCCAGGCTGCGATAATCCCTGCTGCTTGTGCATCTTTTTCTTCCACACTTTTCCCTTACACATAACTTTCTATTAATGTGCTTTGATACAGCACTTTGGGAACATCCAACTTCTTTTGCAATTACCTTTTGAGGCTTTCCCTCCTTATGGAGGGTGTCAGTGATGGTTTTCTGCACAACTGTCAGGTCAGCAGTCTTTCCCATAATTGTGATGCCTATTGAACCAGACTGAGATACCATTTAAAGGCTCAGAAACCCTTTGCAGGTGTTATGGCTTAATTAGCTGATTAGAGTGGGACACTTTGAGCCGAGAATATTACACCTTTTCACAATATTCAAATTTTCTGAGATTGTGGATTTGGGGTTTTCATGAGCTGTAAGCCATAATCATCACAATTATGACAAATCATGGCTTGAACTATCTTGCTTTGCATGTAATGAGTCTATCTCATATATTAGTTTCACCTTTTAAGTTGTATTACTGAAATAAATGAACTTTTGCACGATATTCAAATTTTTCGAGTTTCACCTGTAGAAGGTGGGCAAAAATAGCAGTTTTATGGTAAACTGCACCAAATGGTGTTGTTGATAAACAAAGCCACGTCAATGGCAGCTTCCAGTTTTCAGCTGCTGCAGAGAGAGTCATACAGGAGATCGGTTCCAGTAATTGGCACGGTGGGCGGGAAATTTACTGGAACCGATCCCCTGTATGGCTCTCTCTGCAGCAGCTGAAAAACAGCAGGAGGGAGAGGAGAAGGAACCAGCTTTTAGCTGCTGCAGAAGGAATCACACATGGGATCGGTTAAGGTAATTGCCCTGCTCACCATCCTGCTCACCCTCCCTACCACATCCGATTCACCCAGCTGTCTGGGCCCCCCTGCTGGCCTGGGCCCCATACAGGAGGACTGGCAATACCCCCTTATCCACAGCCATGACTGGAACCGCTGGTTATTAGTCACAGTCAGGTTTAATTTCTAGCTGAAACAATAGGCTCCTAAATTTCTGATTGATCATCACACCGCTCCATTGGAGCATGCATTAGATCCAAGGTGCAGTGAAGTCACAAGTGATGTCACTTGCTGTCAGTAAAGAGATTATAATGGAGCTCTCACAGCTCCTTCAAATGTCTACTGATAGCAGTAGATTACTGCTATAGTGATCTATAGCTGGCTGATTGCATCCAGCAATCAGGGGCGGACTGACCATTTGGAAACTCGGGCATTGCCCGAGGGCCCGGGGTCAGTAGGGGGCCCCATGAGATGCCCCTGGTACCTTTTTCATAGGCTTTTTTGAGTTTGGGCAAGGACACAGGGGCTCCATGATCCCCTATTGCCCGGGGGCCCCATGAGTTGCCAGTCCGCCCCTGCCAGCAATAGATCACTATTAGAGGTGATCTGCTGAGTAGCTACATTTGGGGTCTGGAAAAGGTCTGGAAGTGAAAAAAAAAGATGTATTCACTAAGCAAGCATCTTTTTATCCCTGTGTGAATTTCAGTGCAGCTCTCCTTAAGAAAAACAAATGTGTTTTTGAGCTCTATCATTGCCCTGCATTTCATAAAAGTGACAATATTGTAAAAGTTTAATGAAATCAATATGCCAAAAGTGCCAACCTGTAAGCATGCTAGAAACAAAAATGAAAAGCGACAACATGAAGAGCGACACTACAATGTGTCATTGAAATATATCAAGGCAGCTACCCCTTAAAGTGCAACCTATACATATATTCTGTGAAAAAACAATGAAAGTAAGGCACTGACACTTTAAATGTTTGTTCAAAATTAAATGTGACTACTGTATATATAAAAATATATATATATATATATATAAAAATTATGTATCCTAAAATAATTATTCAAATTTTTACACTGTTTAATTGGGCAACTATCTGCCAAATGAGGTTTTAATGTTGAAAAATGTAAGGTTATGCACTTGGGGGCTAAGAATATGCATGCATCATACATACTGGGGGAATCAATGGTGTAGAAGGATCTGGGAGTCACAAGCTTAATAATGGCATGCAATGCCAAGCTGTGGTTTCTAAAGTGAGTAAAATCCTCTCTTGTATTAAAAGAGATATAGACTCCATAGAGAGAGATATCATTTTACCCCTGTACAAATCATTAGTTATACCTCATCTGGAATATGCAGTTCAGTTTTTGGCACCAATTCACAAAAAGAACACTGGGGAACTGTAGAAAGTACAGAGAAGGGCAACCAAACTGATAAGAGGCATGGAGGAGCTCAGCTATGAGGAAAGATTAGAGGAACTGAATGTATTCTCTCTTGAGAAGAGGAGATTAAGGGGGATATGATCAACATGTATAAATACATCAGTGGTTCATATAGTGAACTCAGTGTAGAGTTATTCATCCTGAGGTCATCACAGAGGACAAGGGGGCACTCTTTATGTCTGGAGGAAAAGAAATTTAATCTCCAAACACGGAAAGGTTTCTTCTCAGTGAGAGCTGTGAGAATGTGGAATAGACTCCCTCAAGAGTTGGTTCTGGCCAGCTCACTGGATTGCTTTAAAAAAGGCCTGGATTCTTTCTTGGATACACAGAATATAACTGGATACTAACATTTATAGGTAAAGTTGATCCAGGGAATATCCGATTGCCTCTTTGGGGATCAGGAGGGATTTTTTTTCTCTTGCAGGTGCAAATTGGATCATGCTTTGCTGGGTTGTTTTGCCTTCCTCTGGATCAACTGTGGGTGTAGGATTATAACTTTTTTTTTTTTTTAAATGGTTGAACTGGATGGACTTTTGTCTTTTTTCAACCAGACTAACTATGTAACCAAAATGAGAAAGTCCCCAATAATCATTATCTTGTGGAAAGATGATTAACAAAAGTGACCATATCTTCTTCAGAACCAACTGGATGTGCTCCACCCATGATCAGCTGAAATGCCAACACATCAATTTAAAGTGGCCACCAAAACAGCCAACAGGCAATACGGATGAAGTCCTGTGTCTAGGAAATTATCTCTTCTCCATAGGATACCAAGAATGCTCCACTCATGAATATCATAAATGGAAGATCCTGGGATTTATGCTATGAGAACAAGGAGCTGATCTGGCTTTGAGAAACTGATGACTCTCTTCATATGCCTCAGCTGCCAATCATCATAGCTGGTACACACCTCTTCTCATAGTGCCTGGCCTGCTTCTGAAGAAGATTTGGTCACTTTTGTTACTCTTCTTTCCACAAGATAATGGTGATTGGGACTTTCTCGAATAGGTGTGGACATTCAAACAATTTTTTGGGGAGAAATTATTTTTGAATGTATCATAATGTGGAATTATTCATGTTTTAATATTTAATTTAAAGGATAAGTTCACCCTTTGGACAAAAGTAATAAAAGCACATTTTTTTCAGGTAAAAAAATGTGCATTTATTATTTTTGTCTACAGGAGCCTGTAAAGCATTGCAACAGTGATCAGTAGATCAATGATGCCATATGGGTCTCTTGCAGACCTGTCAGAATATATATACTGACAAGAAGCTTCAATTAACTACCACGGTGCTCCACAGCATTGTGGTAGTTAATTGAAAACTAAAAGCCCACAGCCGCTAAGGTTCCATTGCAGTTCATTCATTAATTCACGGAAGTCCATGAATGAATGATGTGACCATGTGGGCGGAGCGCCACACGGCCGCACTGTTTTCAAATTTGACAAATATTATGGGGAATGTCTTTAAAAAATTGCTACCAAATGGAAGTTCCATCTGCCACAAAAAATGTATAATACCTTAGGTTAGACTACAAAACCTAAAATTCATAATATATGCAACGAGACAAAAAAAAAAAAACATTCTTAGACATAAAGGGATTTAGGGAGATAGATGCACAGGGACTCTATCCAAAACATGTTCCTTTTATAAATTTTGGATAGAGTAAGAACGGGTAAAAACTCCTCTCAGGTTGTGTTTTGCCATCTTTGTCCTGTTGGAGAAATTCCACTTCACTAACTCTCCAATAGACACATCAGGAAGAAGGGAAGAAATTCACTCTTAGACAGTTGTCACCACAATAAGTGTCCCCACTGGAAGACTTTCCATGTAGTCCATATTCTAAAGAAAAAAAAAATGGACACCAGGATAAAAAGAGAGTGAGATGATCCCAAGGAGGAACACAGGTAGAGGAAAAATAAATTACAGGATTGTTAACCTATTCACTACTCTATCCAAAACATGAAAAAAAACCTCTTTTCAACTTGGTTAAAGCTGACCTTGAAGCAAAAAAATTATACATATGAAATACGTATATGGAAGCTTTAATCCTGAGATTAACAAAGACCCAGCACACAGCACAGTCAAGTGGGTGCAGGGGCGGACTGACAACTCATGGGGCCCCCGGGCAATAGGGGATCATGGGGCCCCTGTGTCCTTGCCCAAACTCAAAAAAGACTATGAAAAAGGTACCAGGGGCATCTCATGGGGCCCCCTACTGACCCGGGGCCCTTGGGCAGTGCCCAAGTTTCCAAATGGTCAGTCCGCCCCTGAGTGGGTGACACCAAGTTTTCAGTGATGCAATAAGCTCATATCAAATTCAGATACCTACACTAAATACATTAAGAAAAATAAATTAAATTATATATTACTTAATACATTGGTGCATTCATTTGTAGCTTTTACATCTGCCTGGAGTCCAACTTTAAAGAGAGCCTGGTTCTCTAAAGTAACAATTAGTATTGTTTTATGAGAGAATTGGAATAGCCTAGAAGAGTCTTGACATTTTTGTCTATTTCATTAGTCAGCTCACAATAACATATGGCCCCTCAGATACAATCCTTCCACATAGCACACTAGTTTGTGCATGTTTTGCTGTTAATGCCTGGAACACTCTGTGATTTTATGATACTTTATTAAATGCCCTGACATTTGGGAAATCTATCATGGAAATGCTTGACTTAGAACAAATATCACCAGCTGCCTATTTCTATGGTTGCCTGTTTAGTAGGAACACAGTAGCAAATAATTTGAGGTTAAGGACACTCATAGCAAGACTTTTCTTATGTACATAATAAGATCCACAAAGGAATTCTGAAAGTAGAAAATCTTATGGATATTGCCATGTATTGCATCATGGGGCCACCTGTTGGATGATCCGAACATTTTTTACTAAAAAGTGCTACATTTTGAATGGCTTTAAAAAGGCCAGGAAAATATGGGCAGAAATTTTGTAAATATGATTATCTACACTAACTCACTATATTGCACTGGATGAGGATAAGTAGGTTGTAAAGGTGGGTTACTAACACAGGGGGAGAGTTACTAAAGCTGGTTCACTCAGAATTTGGTGCACTTGTGCATGATAGACAATCAGCTTCTAACTTCAGATTGTTGAATTAAGCTTTGACAATAAAACCTGAAAGCTGATTGGTTTCCATGAAGAAGTGCATGAAATTCTGAAAGAACCAGCTTTAGTAAATAAACCCCATAGAATTTGTTATAATATCATTCTTATGTTACTCATTGTTCCTTTTTCATATATGTATGTACAGGATGTGAAATGTACATGGTAATAAAAAGCTAATATTATAAAATAAAATACTCAAAGATTGACTAGCCCTTTATCATTTCAGATTTATTCTGTAAATCCAACAAATTACGAATACTATCTAGGGAATAGTGATAAGTGAATTGGTCTGGGATCAAATTGCAGGCTGTTTCCCAGACCCAAATTGAAATCCACAAACCTTGAGCATAAAACCCAAACCACACTGCCCTTAATGAGATCCAAATCTTGTTATTTTTTTCTAACCTTTTTAAAGGCCATTTTTCAAGCCTTTGGGAAAAAAAGCACATGGATAGCTGGACACTACCTTAGGGGTCTTGTATCAACACAAACTTTTTTTTGTAAATACCATGTAGAGGGGGGAAGGTTTTTAATAAGGCTTGAAGGGCAACATAAAAAATTTACAATTCCTTTGACCCTTTTGCTACTAGGCCCTGAGCGTTTGCCATACCATTTTAAACGATTTTCACTTTTTTAATACTTTATAAAATTGTGCTACTGAGTTTGTTGGTCCTGCAATATTTGCACAAATGTTTATCAAAGCAATATATTTGATAAAATACACTAAAATCTTTATTAGCATACACAAAAACAACATACATTACAACACTTCTGCTAAATCTAAAACTATGTTACGTTAAATAAGAAAATACTGTACATTTAAATTGTGCCTATTTGCTAAATAGTGAAAGTCAAATATATACAATACTCTAACTAAGCAACTTACGCTAAAAATCTGGTTGGTTTCACACCTATGCATTTTTACAATGCTCACAGTGCAGCTTGTTAGCTGCATTGCTAAGTATTGTGATAGGCATATATTTATTGCAACATAGCTCATTACAAAGTTTAGCATTGCATTACAATTCACTGCCAAACATAGCATTGAACAAATGTACTTTAAAAAAGGTTTAAAATTAAACTAAAAAAAAAAAAGCAAACACTGTGATGTGTTGTAGCTATAGAAATCAGTGCATGTGGACATCGTACACCAGTGTATGTTATGTGCAGGGGAGGACTGACCATTTGGAAACTCAAGCACTGCCAGAGGGCCCGGGGTCAGTAGGGGGCCCCATGAGATGCCCCTGGTACCTTTTTCATAGGCTTTTTTGAGTTTGGGCAAGGACACAGGGGCCCCATGATTCCCTATTGCCTGGGGGCCCCATTAGTTGTCAGTCCGCCCCTGGTTATGTGCACCATAATGCTCACCTGCTGGTATGAATGGGCCCGAAGCGTGTTTTACTATAATGTGTGTTTTGCACATGTGTACATTATGTGTATAATTTGCGAGTGTGTGTAGAGGGGTGTTCAAGTCTAGGTTTCCATCTTTCAACTGAAATAACATACGTATGTGCATGTGTATTTGTATGCCCATAAATATACAGTATGTGCTAGGGCAAAATAATAATTTGAATGGTCTGCCCATTGCACAGAAATCACACCAAAAAGATACATGTACCTTTTTTCTAAAAAGCTTTGCTTTTTACCATGTGTTGGAGTGTGATGAAATGCACTTGTGTTAGCAAGGTGTGTTGGGGTGCCATTAACAATATATGGCACCACAACACACCAACAGGAAAACGTTTTCTCACATTGCCTGTCCTGAATGAACACAGGGTGATCAACAATATTCACCCTGTGTTCATTCAGGACAGGCAATTGTTAAAATGTCATCAAAAAGGATACAGTCAACTACTATTCTTCAATGGGAAAATGCATTACCTTACTCTTTATTTTTATTATATTTATGGCTCAGTGAATGTAGACTAAATCTGAAATTCACTCCAATATTCATCCATTTTTTTTTACCCTAAAATGAAAATTAGCTGCTACTGTACAGCCAACATTTATCCTGGCAAGATTCAAACTAACATAAGTTGCCCAGTAAATGTATAATAATAACTAGGGAGACTCTTGCTAGAAAATGCTGGTTGAATCCTTTCAAATGTTATTTCTCCAGAATCCAGACCAGACATACACTCTTTAGACACATGCTCAAGCAGCAATGGCTTCCCCAGGAGGCCCTGGCAGAGTGCAAGCTCTCACTGAGTCTAGGTAAACCAATCTGTTTATAATAGATACCTTCACTGGTTTTTCTGCCCTGAGATATCAGACAGACTTTCTCTGCTAGACCTAGCTTCCCTGGCAGCCTTTTGATATAATAAACTTTACATACTGCTGCAGGATCATGTGGATATACAGTATATTGTGACAGACTTATGCCTTGCCACTGTGTAAAGATGCACATTGGAACATGGATAGAACATGGTATAGCATGCAAAGGGTCTATAAAAAGGTGTGGGACCAATGTTCAGTTAGCTGTTGCCCCACAAAAGGGAATCAGGCTAGCCATCCAGTGCTCCCTCCCCAGAAGAGCCATACTGCATGAAACAGGACTATGCTGTCTGCAAAGTTTATTAAGAAACACTGATATATGTATGACTAGGAGCACTAGTAACCCTTGGAAAAGCTTTCTTCCCTAGGATCAGATGGGCATATTTCACTGGGAGATGGCTTAATGGTCCCAGAAAGTTGGAAGTGTGTCTTAGCATGCAGGGAGGTACCACCTGGAAAGTTGGCCAATACTGTACTTTGCATGTTGACAGTAGTAAAAAAGTGGTGTGACTAGCTCTCTGTTTGAAATAATAAAGGATATAATGCTACTGGGCAAGAGTTTAATGTACAAAACCTCTGGCAGTAGTCACAGATAGGCCTGCTGAGGGTGGCCATGTGTATGTTGCAGTTACTGCTGTTTTGCTCTGTGTCTTATGGGTAGAAAGACAAGCACATGGAAAAAGAAGATGACAGTTTTTATTGCAACCCCAGTGCTCCTAAATAAAGAAGGTGAGTGATAATACTTTCTTAAGGGAGATGAACCCACTGTGTATTTTGAGAGAGACGTTAGTCTTCTGTATAGTTGGAAGGCAAGGGTTAAAGGTTAATTGGAAAATGTTAGGCTAAGCATGAAAAACCTTCTGCGTGTCTATATAACTGAGCCATTAAAGCAGGGTTCTGATGTAAATGTGGTAAGGGTGACCACTAAACAAAAAGGACAATGTGCAGTTTTCCCTAGCAATTTTGAAACAGAAATGTTCAGAAAAACTTCTGAAGTGCCCATGGTGCTAGAGCTAGAAGTTTCTCAGGTCCACTGTGGTACTCTCCAGGTGGGTTCCCTTACAGATTAAATAGAATATGCAGTTGTTAAATGAAGACACCCAAACTCCCAAATCTTAGGTTGTGTTACTGTAGTTTGCTATGACTAAAGAGCAATTGATTAAAAGGAGTTGGGATTCCTTGTGATATCAGTCGTTCCTAGGGACACCTTCCAGAGAAACCAGTGACAGTGGAATCTGTCATATATAAATGGGGTGCAAATATTGCTACCACCAAATATGGAGGTGAATAGGTGGCAGATTGGACGTTCATCTGAATGCCCAAACAGCCAAAGCTTGGTCCAAATCTAGGTTCAGAATAAACCATCAGCTCATCCCTAGCCCCTACCATCATTGGTTGCTAACACGCTAGTGGCCACTCAGCACCATTGGTTGCATTTGACAGCTCCCTGGACCACAGCTGAATGTAAACAAGGGAAGGAGTATTCCAGATAATATCATTGACCAAACATGAGCAATTGCATTGAGCAGAAGTTGGAAGCTGACATGTCAGTGTTTTTTTTTTGGGGATTGGTGGGCATAGTTCATCATTATTGATGCAGATCTATATCACTGGATGACTGGATTGACTCATTTGTGAATGAGTAATTTGGGCCAAGGATGTGGTAATTAAGATATTATACTCACCAAAGTGCCTCTCAAGGTATCCTCCCAATGTTGAGAGTGTGTGGCCTAGGAGAGGATGCACACCTGCTGCCCCCTCCCCCTTTTTTCTGGATGCACCCCTGCTGCCCCCCCCCTTTCCTGGTCATCCAGGCTTCATGCTCATAAAAGGGTCTGGTGAGCATTTGTGGGGTGTATTGTTTTTTTGTTTGTTTTTGGTGGGGGGCCCCTGTCAGCCCTTGAAATAAAAACCAGATTTTCATTGAGGATAATGGTCCAATATGTATTTTTAGAAGGAACCACATGACATTTTGTTCAAAACTGTAATTGATTCTTACGGTGCAAATATCATTTTTTCTGTAGTATAGCATGCAGATGTAAAAAGATAAGAGCAGCAAGGGCACATGATCAGTATCCATAATAAACATTTAATTAAAAAATAGTATTACTAACATCCTTATGTAGCCTATATCCAGCTTGTATTGCTGAGATCAGATGTAACAGCAGCCAGGCGCTGGACCATTGATGTGTAAAGGGCCTTGATAAGCACCAGACCCGCAATGTGAAGATGAAAACCAATGGCGTGTACAGCTGCATCTCGTGCACCTCACTGACAGAGTGATGTCATAGGGGAGGGGAATAGGCAGCAACATATTTCCAGGGCAACAACCTCTTTCTCAAGCCTGCCTGAGAAGGTCTAGTGCTGGCCCTTTATAGGCACAGAGTACCAAAGTGAAAGGAGTGAGGTGCACAGGGATTGGGATTGCGCCTCCCTTGCTTTCACCTCATTTGAGATCCATCCTTCAACGGTGCTTCTGACCTTCTCCTAACCTTCAGTAAACCTCCATCTAAGCTGTTTCAAACATTTCAGTTGACTTGAATGGGGAGAAAAACCATTTCAGACAAGAAAAAAAGCCCATGTACAGAATACCTTAGAAACGTATTGTAAAAAGGGGATTATACGCTATACTTCTGTATTAATTATGTTTGCCTTCCTGGAGTAAAATTTTACAGACATCGTATGTGACAGCACAAATTATTTTACAGTCTTCACCTGCAGAGGATTCCCAATTTCATTTTTCCATTTTCCTATATAAGAGCTAATGAGCTAATAACATATTGTTTAACTGCTAAAGAATATGCGGTAGATGTAGGAAATAATCAGCTGCAAGACTGATTAGCTGGTTATATTCCATCATGTCTATCTGCCGTGTGAGCACAGAACATTGAAATCTGTCAAAGAAAATGTGTAATATAATAATACATTTTGAATAAGCTCTGTTTATACATTACAACAGTTGCCTGAAATATTTCTTAGTAGTTGCTAACATTTCTCAACTAAGATTTAGTAATCTTTTAATTTTATATATTTATGTATTGAAATATTACTTACGTACAGAATGTGTAATTCATATATTATTTATATCATAAGTTAGTTTAAGTGGTTGTAAACCTCAGATATGAAATATGAACAAAGCATATCCCCCTATAGTGTGTACTTGTCTCGATTAAGAGCACTAAGTGTCATTTCTGCCTGCTGCTTCATTCCTCTGCTATCAGCATGAATCACTTCTGCCAAGTTTTCCCGACACTAAGATTAAAATGGTGATGGAGAGGGACCTCCAGCAGATTGACAGCCTCAGCTCTGTTCCCGTGTGCTGTGTGGAGGGGGGAGTGTCTCTTCCCTCCAATCATCACTGAGAGCTCTCCGCTCAGCAATGTGTATTTCACCTTGCCTCCCTTTGTTTTCTGAACTCTCACACAAACCTTAAAAATTCAGCACTGTGAAGAAATGTAAAAAGAGATGTCCGTAGATAAACAGGTGCCACTTATGTAGGAGTATTTGTTTCATCTCTGTGCACCTGCACCTGCCTAAGAACCTCGGACCTCAAAGCACATTGCCTTACTTGGCTGCAATTCCTTGGCCATGTCAGAAAAGGGGTGATAGCATTGCCATCACTGCCCAAATATGGCAGCTATAGCCTGTAACACTGACCATAGTACTCTATATAGCTCAGAGGAAGGATTCCCCTATCCACAACTATCTTTTTTGTTCAACCCACTGTTGAATAAAAAAAAAAATTACATTACATATGGGCTGCCTAAAAGAAGAGAGGATTAACAAGTGCACTTATGAAAACAATCAATAAGACAATAACGTTACTCTAAGATATATGGTTAAACACCTGCAGTATTCTAACTAGCAGTAATTAACAGAACTGAAATGCATCTACCTAACAATAGTATATAAAGACTCTTAACTTGCTATAACAGTCACACTGGTCAGTGGTTGATAGAAAAAAACTTGGCAGGCAAAGTAGGGGCCCTCGAAAAAAGCCCAACAGTCCCCAGCAGACAATAGATTAAATTGTATGATTTTAGTTTCTTACCAGACCCAGGGAACCCTCTTCGGATTCAGTAAAAGTCAAGTTCAAGTCAGACAGGGGTAGAAGTTGCTATGGTCTCCCTCTTTCAATCCTGCTGAGACTTCTCATTTTTCCTTCCTTTCAAGTGGTTGGAGTACTCTCTTGTACAGTTTTTGTAATCCAAAGGGGCACTGGATTGTTCCAAAATAAGAGAGAGTTAAGGCAACCCCATTGGGGCCGACTTATTTCATGGAACTAGGAAACAAGAAAAGTCAGTGACAACAGATCTCTCACCTCTCCAAACTCCAGGCGTTTACATTGATTTGATAAAGGATCTTTCTTTGCAAGCTAGTACCCAGTAGTAGTACCCAGGGGCCCCTTCCTGATGGTCATCAGTCTGCTGATGGTCAAAGTCACTTGCCTCATCCAGCAAGTGAAACACTAATTCCCAGTGCAGCCTCTCAGTATCCTGGTCCCCCTCACACATATCATTGCACAGAGTATGATGGCGACAGCAGTCTTTGATCAGAGCTCTTCTCCTGGGCAGCCAAGCATCGGCTAGTTTAAGCAAACTCTGGCTACATGCCACTGTTACCCCTTTACTGCGACCTTGTGGTGCTCTCTTGCTGCTGAAAAACTCTGTCTCATGCACTGTTGATTCCAATCACCGCCACAATTGAATCAGACCTAGGCAAGATGGCTGTCCCCTGCACTGAGCATTGCAAAGTGGTCTCCTTAACCACTTCAATACCGGGCACTTTTACCCCCTTCCTGCCCAGGCCAATTTTCAGCTTTCAGTGTTGTCACACTTTGAATGACAATTGCGCGGTCATGCAAAACTGTACCCATAAACCATTTTTTGCATTTTTTTTCACACAAATAGAGCTTTCTTTTGGTGGTATTTAATAACCACTGAGTTTTTAAATAAACAAATAAAAATGAAACTTTTGAAAAAACCTAATTTTTCTTCGTTTTTGTTATAAATTTGAAAATAAATAACATTTCTTCATAAGTTTAGGTAAAAATGTATTCTGCTACATTTCTTTGGTGAAAATACCCCAAATTAGTGTATATTATTTAGGAAAGCTATAGAATCCACAAACCATGTTATATATATTGGACAATCGATTAATCAATGTACTGATGGGCAATCTGATTTCGTGAGCCCGAAAATGCCAGTATAGTACAAATACACCCCAAATTACCCATTTCTGGAAAATAGACATTCCAAGGTATTTAGTAAGAAGAATTGTTTTTTGGAGGTTGTAATTTGGTACTTTTTTTGAAAAATGTAGAAATTAAAAAAAAAAATCACTTTTGTTTTTACATATTGTCACCAGTCTAGTACAGCGTGATTGGTGTGGCAGTGATCAAGGACACTGACTGGTGACAGTATGTAAAACAAATAAAAATATGAAATTAAATTTTTTTTTAATTTTCCATTATTTTTATATGTTTATTACATTTTTTTTTTACAATCTTTTTTCAACACACTGTGACCAAAGCAATACAATGTTACCATAGTACCATTGAACTACTGTGGGCAAGTGATCAGGATTTTTTATTTTTTACACATTATGATTGCTAATACCAGTGCATTTAATTGATATTTTCCAATCAATGTTACTGAATGAAACTGATTCATTCAGTCTTTTGTTGTGATTAGCTGTGATTGGGCAAAGCTCATCACATGATACAGATGGGCTGTGATTGGCCCTGTCTGTACCTTATGACTGCTTTGATCAATCACAGCTAACAACACAATTGTATACAATGAATGGCATGAAAGGAAGCCATCCATTGTATACAATTGACATGTGATCTGCTGTGATTGGTCACAGTGGTCACATGACACTGGCAATGGGCCTGTGTAGTGATATGTCATTGGCACAACCTGTGACAGATGACGCCGCTGCGTGGCCCCGCAGCTGCGTGAATGACGTCATATGACGTCCAGTCACAACGGCGAGTGTCATGCCCGGCCGTCAATCTGCTATACACCTGGCGGGAAGGTGTTAAAGATGACTGCTGCACCTCTGCACTAATGACTATTCAGTTTAACCCTGTACACATTGCAGAAGGATAATTCAGTAACAACAAAGGATGTTCCACAGCAGTTATTGGCTACAGTTCAGGTTACACTATCCAGTCATCTAGTAGTGCAGCATTTGAGCCCATGAAAATATCTCTCACCGTCCATCATTCTTGGTAAAGAATCTCCTTGGTTTAACTGCTAAGGAATATGTGGTATATGTAGGAAGCTACAAGACGGATTAGCTGGTTTTATTCCATCACGCCTGTCTCCTATGTGAACACAGAACATTAAAACCATTTCTTGCGTCATGTAATGCACTTTTTATCGGGCACTTCAATGTTAAAAATATTAAGTGTAGCATTGTGCACCAAATTCAAGCATTACTACCTTTATGTGTTAGAGGAAATGTTTAATGAATTCAGAAATGTTATTTAAATCGGAACCAAACCAATCCTTATATCCACAATATTTATGATCAAATACTATCCAGTCCTCTAGAAGTGCAGCATGTAAGCCCATGAACAAACATTATCCTTGGTATGGAATTAGTCTACCAGTGGGCAGCCTTATAGTTATTTGCTGACCACTGTTTTGAAGATATACTTCAGTGATGTAGCCTGAATCAGAGGCACACTTTGGACTACAGCAGCACAGACCAGGCTGTCACTGTCAATATCACACATGCTGCAGTCGCTCATACAAAGTCAGTGCTGCAGCTGTTCTCCCTCTCCTTGGCTGCCAGTGAATACAGAACATTTCCAGGGATGTGTGCAGACACAGAGAGGGCGAGAAAAGCTCTGCCCACCACAAGGGAAATGAATGGGAAGCAGCAATGCTGTTGTTATGCAGTCTGGGAAAAGACCAAGTATATCAAAAATATAAATATACCACAAAGTGTTAGGCAGGGTAACCTATTGATGAGCTCAAAGATTGCACCTAATATTGGTGTGGCTGTAAACCAAAAAAATAATATATAGCAAAAAGAGTAGTAGTAGCCATGAGCAGACTACCAAAGTAGGTATTAAACACCCAAGCAATTTAGCTCATGTGTAAAATCACATATTTTTATTAATCCACTGTAGGGAAAAAAGGATAATATTAGTGGATGATGACATATACAATTACTGAATACCCATTAAAAACAATGAAAGACAAGCAATCCGGATTGCAACATTAGAATTTTCTGGTGATTTTCACTAAAGACTGGTTTGAGATATAAAGCAGCATTATTGCATGAAATGCCAAATTCTGCCATGTTTGCCTCCTTTTGCTATATGGGAAAAGACCAAGCCTGCTGGAAGGAGCAAAGACTTGTGGGAGATATAGTCCCCAGAAAGACTACCTAATGCCAGAGTTGAGCCCTAAAGCACTGGCCAGTGGGAGAGAGTTTGCCAGAGACTGTGGTATCATTGTTTTGCATTACCCCTTAGTGTGGACCCCCTTAGTATGGTGTTTAGGGGTAAAGCCACTGGTCCGCTTGCTATTTACAGTCACACATTATTTTGTAACTGTTTCTGTGTATCTGGTAATGTATTTATTACTGATTTTCCACCCTTTGGGTATTGTTTTACTGTGTGTTGCACGAATAAATATTTTACCTTCAGCCTTGGTGTGTCTGAGAGTGCTGCATTGCCAGGAAGGTCATTGACAATCAGAGTCAGGGGATACAAACATCATCGGTTCCTTCAGGGATAAGCTCTACAATGAGGACTCTGACTGAATGAAACAGAATAATTCACCTGTGTAGCAAAAAGGGATAGGTTAAAAGAACCTGATAATTATATTCCCACAGTTCAATGGATTTGATTTACAGCATAAGATCTGTGGGTCTTAATATCACAAATTTGCACAAACCTTTAAGTCTCGTTGGTTGGTGTATTGAATTACCTAAAAAGCAGAGGGGAGTATTTCAATACATACCTAGTCTTACAATAGGCAAGGTCCACACTTTTCTAAACCTATATATTATATTATATGATCCCTATGATTAAGTCAGGATATGACGAAACGCATCAGGGTGTGACGGTGCGGCTGACCAGAAGTGACGTGTTTGTGTTCCGGAAGTGACGTAGACCGGAAGTGACGTGGTGGCATTCACTTGAGTATCAGATTGTGGTAAGAGCACCATGTAGTTCCAACTAACTCCTTCACTATATTGATATGGGCTTGGTTTGTTTTTTAATTACACATTGTAAGTGCAATTTTTAAAGCAATAAACGCCATATACATTGGGTAATGCACCATTGGAGCGTTTTTTTTGTTTCCTCCACATGATGTGATTGAGAGAGATCTATGCTTTATATGGAGGATTATATTGTATGACCATAATTATTGAAGAATATATCTGAATAATCTCCTGGCTTGCCTAGTTTGGAAGTTTACCTTACCTGCTTGCATATATCATCTATTTGGTGAGTGTACACCCCAATGGGGGATACACTAAGAGCACGGAAAGAAGTTTTTTGAGCACCATTTCCTTTCACCATGGAACTTTTTGTTCTTGGATATGGACTTTATTAATGTTTATGATTTATTGCATTTTACCATTTGTGTGGTATAATAATTACTTATCAATTATAGTTTATTTATTTTTTCCTATTGACTGTCATGTATGGATTGGGGTATATAGAGATAGGTTACCGAGGTCCCTCTTTGTGTCTACTCATCCCGTTTGACAGTAATATTTATATGAGATTAATACCGTAGAGTGTTTGCTCTACTTTTTTCATGTTTTTAGTGGTGGAATATATATATATATATTTATTATATATATATATATATATATACATATATATAGTGATTTACCCTTAAAAACAGTAGAAAAACAATAGTAAGTTTGTACTAATATACAAAATGCAGATTGCTTTATGAGATTTATAAATGTCCTCCATTGTACATTGTAAGACATGGTTAGAGGGGAACACTAACAGTGAAAGACATCCTTCCCAAAAGCTTATAATATAAGAATGTTGAGAGTAGAACAAGGACTTTTTAAATCTCAGCATGGTGAACAGATGTCTCATATCTTACTTTGTTTCCCTCTGGTGGTTCACATAAATTAAGAAGTACTCAGGAAATACTTAATTCTTGATCATATTTACAAATGTAAGTACTACATAATGGGAATTAAAGGGAAACTTTATAAGACTGAAGTCTTCTCAGGGATTATCTACAACAGGTTTCATAAGATGCAAATACTTTCGAGAATTTTAGAAATTAACAAAGTAAAATCTCACAAGGTTCTGAAAAAAATGTTGCCCTCACTTGCTTTGTAAAATTATACAGATACAAATGTGAGAGTGATTTTAACAGGTCACCCATCCATTTTTTTTTTTCACTCCATATTCAAATCAGTGGTTAGAGATTTACTGGCTTTAAAGCTGAATCCAAACAAATTTAAAAGACATATATTAAAGCAGATTTGTATTTGTTTTTCCAGCCCCTCACAAAAATATGCAAAGGATACATGGTACCTCTATTTTCAAATTAAAGGCAGTCCCAGACATTTGCCCCCCATTCAAATGTGTAAGGGATATACAGTACCCCGCTTATTCACACAAAAACATAAATGTCAACAGTAGTAAATAAACACACTCATTTTTGACGCATCATTTATTAAAAAATATGAACAATGCTTGACTAAACAAAACATGCCCCTGCTGAGAGCTGAAATGTCAACGAGTGGATGATTACTGATGCCATTAACCAAATACTGAATTTCCATTTTTGTTCAGTGAAGTCAACCATCTATCCCTACCCATTTGTTTACATTTCAGCCATTGGTAGGAAAAGTCTGGATGACAGCTAAATGGGCAGGGAAGATAAGACGTGGTTGTTACAAAGCTTGGGGCCCAAGCTCTCTAAAAGCAAGGTACTCTTCAGAAGCTATAATATTTAGTAGAAGCAGTAATACTGACGAATGGCTGAACACTCCATTAGTTCCAAACAACCAAAATTTGGACCAAACATGGGTTCATTCTAAAACTGGGGCCCACCTTTACTTTCAGGCAAATAAGGGATTTGGTTTATAACCTTTACCTCTAAAATAAAGGAGATGGAAGTATACGTACATTTTTAATCCGCTATTTTTTAAAGAAGTGAAATATGTTGCACTACCAGGCAGATAGTTGAAGAATCTTTTCATATAGTCATTGAATTCACTTTGATGACTACTGATGTCAATATTGAGCAAAGAGAAGGCAATTTTCTATATAGTTTATATATAGATTTTATAACAGTCATGTTCTAGAGGACCATTCTGATTTTAGTACAATAGATTTGCTCAAACATCTAGAATCCAACACATTCCAAAGCACACATATCGTAAGAATGTCTTTCTTTCCATCTCCGCATTTCGGCTCCATGTCTGACCATTCCATCTCATTTTCTTTTTCATTACAAGCTTCTATTTTGTCATACATTTCTAACCTGCACCAGATCTTCTACTAATCTTTGAGCCTCTAAGGCATCTCATTAGAGTTACATATGTGAGCATGCATTGCAAAGTTTC